CAACTCACACATGCACGCGCGCGCACACACACACACACACACACACTCCCTAAATACATATACACTGGCTCAATCTTTCATTTATGCCCATGCTATACCACAAAAATTCTAAAAATGAGGTTAAGCCTGTATGGATTCCATGCATGACCTGCAGGAAATCTAAACACTCTTGAAATTATATGTAACATTTTCTTGGTAAATGCCAGTGCACATTTTTTTTTTTCCTGGAAATAGGGATGGCAGCTTTGTTCATATTCTCAGTAGGGTCTCTGATCCAAGACAATGTAAAGGACATTGTCACACCTTTACAATGGAAATCATTACTGTATGGCAATAATGTTTGCAGAGATCAAGTGTTATTAATTTCTGTTTTCCAAGTTTCTAACATTTACTAAATACTAAAAAGATATTTGATAGATAATTAATTGCATTTGCAAGAGAACATTCTCAGGGTACTGCAAATTATAGTCACAATGTAATATACAACATTAAAGCTTGGGTGATGCAGTTTACAATTTGCTAATAATTAGTGCTTTTTCTACATACAAAATTAATTATAGCATAATAAAATCCAATAGCATTTGTTCTTAATTCTCCTCTGATCTGCATTCTGTTGTTTATTCTCATTTGTTCTGATAAGGTCCCTTGTCTCTAATGTTGCTTTCTAAAGGGTAAGAAATAAATCAATGGTACTTAGCTTTTCTAACCATCTGGTCTGGCACACATCCCAAAATTAATGTTTAAATCTGGGTGCAGTTCATGTATTTTTGTCTTGTCTTAGGGAACATCTCTGGAGGTAGGGAATGAAGAGTAGGGCTTCCTCTCTAATTTCACTGAGCAATTTGACCCTTTTATACACATCCCTCTGTAAATATTGTAGATTTCCATTACATGTTACGTGGTTTAGTTACTCAGCAAAGGCCACGGTCAGTTCAAAAACTTCCACTTGGGACACTTTCTTTTATGTTTTTGAGCAGAAGTTAGCAAACTTTTTCCCATAAAAGGCCAGATAGTAAATATTTTAGGCTTTGTAGGCCACAAAATTCCTGTTGCAATTATTCAACACTGCTGTTGAAGTGTAAAAGCAGCCACAGAATATATGTAAACAAATAGGAGTGGCTGTGTGCTGATAAAATTTATTTATAAAAACAGGCAATAGGCTGGAGTTTGCTGATCCCTCTTTAGAGTAAAGCTTTTTGCAAAACCATTAATGGATTTTTTGATAATTTTTAAATTTCCACTGTGTAAGTTTACCAGTTGTGTAATATAGAAGGAGTTGTGTAATGTTTTTGAGGCCCAGTTTCCTCATTTGTAAATCAATAATAAAAACACAATCCTGAAGGATTATTTGGAAGACTGGATAATTTGAAATAATCTGGAAGGATAATTTGAAAGATTATTTTGAAGATTAATATGTTTTAGCATGCATGGAATCCTTAGTCATACTTAGTGCTTAATAAATAATGATGATAACATTCCATTAGAACCTCTCTACTTGAATCTGCTTGACCATGCTCATCAAAAACTAGCAGCTCATATATACTGAGGGCTTACCATAAGAAGAATTAAGGACTTCATAAAGACTATTTTGTTTAATCCTCACAATATTATGAGGTAGGCACTACTATATTTTCATTTTCCAGAGAAGAAAATTGAGGTATAGATATATTGTAAAATTATTCTAAATTCACATGTCTAGTAATTTGCAGAGTCAAGATTTAAAGTTTTCATGGTGGAATTATTAATTAGGCATAATTATTAATTGTCACTTGGGGGAAAAATAGCAAAATGGACAAGTATAATCAGCTATTCCCATTTTACTATAGGAGGTATATTTCTTTTTAAATGGCCAGAAGTTCTTTGATACTTATCCCAAGAATATGGTGGTCTATAATCCCCTCCCCTTGAATCTAGGAGGGCTTACAACTGGTTTGACCAATGGAATATGATGGAAATGAGGCTGTGTGACTTCTGAGCCTAGGTCAGAAAAGGCTTTGAAGCCTCTTCCTGGTTCTCTCAGAGCATTCACTCTGGGGAAGCCTGCTGCCATGGAAGAAGTCCACCTGTAAAGACAACCATCCTGAGTTCCCAGCAGCAGCCAGTAGCCAGCAGCCAGCAGCCAGCAGCTAGCATGTGGTTGAACTGTCTTTTATGTCTATCCCAATTTTGTCTTCGGGTGACTGCAGCCTCAGTCGTCATCTGACTGCAGCTGGATGAGAGACTCCAAGCAACTGCCTGGTTAAGCCCTTTCAAAATTCCTGACCAGGAATTCATGAGCAAAGTACAGCAATCATGCAGAGAGACAGTTTTAACTTCCTCCCTCTCCCCGATACTCACCTTCAGCTGTCACAGCTCTTACTTCTCTAGAATATCTTTTCATCTCCATTTTCATGCTACTACTCTATTTCCAGCTAATAGTATCTCCTCTCTTGAACAAATATAAAAGCCTGGTTTTATCCATATCTCTGATCTCTCCCCAGTATCATTTAATTTGAAAATTAATTCTTCTAAAGCATGGGTGATACTAAGATTCATTTTATTGAAAGAGTGTATTAGTTTTCATGCTGCTAATAAAGACGTACCCAAGACTGGGTAATTTATAAAGGAGAGAGGTTTAATGGACTCACAGTTCCACATGGCTGGGGAGGCCTCACAATCACAGTGGAAGGCAGTGGAGAATCAAAGGCACATCTTACATTCCAGCAGGCAAGAAAGCTTGTGCAGGGGAACTCCCATTATAAAACCATCAGATCTCATGAGACTTATTCACTACCACGAGAACAGTATAGGGGAAACTGCCCCTATGATTCAATTATCTCCACTTGGCCTCACCCTTGACAAATGAGGATTGTTACAATTCAAGGTAAGATTCAGGTGGGGACGCAGCCAAACCATATAAAAGAGAATCAACACTGCTTTGTGTAATTAAGAATATTTACTCTAACCCAGATTTCTTTGGTTAGATCATAAAAGGCTATGTTCCTTCCTCCTGGTTCTCTAGGGATACTCACTTTGGGAAGACTGACACCATGTAAGAAGTCCCTGGGCTTCCTCATTTAATTAAGAATTCCATTTTTGAACCCAGATTTCCAAGAACCCTCATATTGTGACCCTAGACTGCTTTCCTCATCTTACCCTGCAGTGTTTCCTCCATGCATTGTCAGGTTCTAGATTTACCTTCTGTGGCAGTGAAATTGATGAAGACGGGAATGACATGTGGATGCTGCTTGGTGATTGAGTGTATCTGGATAATAAGAAAGCAAATATACAAAAAGGATTCTGGGATTTCATAGATGAATAAGATGTGTTACCTCCCATGGAAATCCTAACACCAGATGAGAGAATTCATTTGAATAAAAACATGTATCTAATATAAAACCACTATTATCAGGAAAAGCACTCTTTTGTGTACAACTCAGTTCTCTTGCACCTCTCTCATGTTTCATATTAGGCTGCAAAAACCTCAACCTGATTACATTCAACTCTGATTACTCTACATCTACACTCAGCTGGACATGGCTGGAAAAAAGCACCCAACTTAAACGTATTTGCCCCACTGCCAAATGGGTCCCTAATAGAGCTCAGAATTATTGATGTTTCTCTATACCCCAATCTGCCAGTTAGTTATGCCTCAGAAAGGTGACTTTTCTTGTGAAGAAGCAAGGACATAAATAATTTTGGTAGCATGTTCAGTTATGCCTTTGTTGGGATGTCTTAACAAATGAATTTTAAAACCCTATTTTAACAACTTGGTATAACCAAGTAAAAAACAACAACAAAAATATCTCTCTCAAAAAGTGCATTTGCATATTTACATGTCTTCAAAAATAAAGAGAAAATACATAATATTTAGGAATATGATATAAAAATCATTTTTACAAGTTACAGCTGCCTGATAACTCATAAGTAATAAAACTATATAAGGTCATCTCTTATGATTAAAAACATTTGTGATTTCACACTTCCCACATTATTTACTCTGTTTATAAGAATTGTTTAAGATATTTTAACATTTAAAAACAATTTTAATGGTACTTTATTTAACTATCAAAACTAAATAGATATATCTGTACAGCTTGGAAATGCTAAATTTTTATTTAACACGAAGATCCTTTGGAATCTTTTTTAAATTGGTAGCTAAAATACATTTTTGTGTAACTCATAGCATGCATCATAAATTCTGTGTTTTGTTTTCTAATTGTCATAAATAACTCTGCCTTAAATCTTTCCACATTACAAAAATTTTTTATAGGTGTAATATAATTGATCTCTGAATTTAAATATAAATACTCATAAATGTATTCAACATTTAGGCCATTTTAGGGACAGAAATCAACAGTAGAAGCATCATAATTTCAAAAATAGATTTCTCCAACTTGCAAAATTCCAAAAATCACTAGGAAGTTTCAAATTTTAAGCTCACAGCATTCATATTAATTATGTACACATTTAATCAATCTCACTTTCCATATCAATATGTTTACCTCCTTTAAAACTTTTTTCTAATGAAAAGAGAGAACTTATATTTGTTTAACAATCTACTAGGAAACAGTACTTATTTAATTCTTGTAATAATTCCTTGGCATAAGTATTGTTATCTCACTTTATAGTTGTTGAACTAAGTTTTAGAAAAGTTAAGACACAATTACTCATTTGGTTAGAATCATACTACAAGAAAAAGATGAAAAGTGAACTGCTGAAATGCACAAGAAGCCAAGGCAGCATTACAGCATTTAGATTGGGGCAGAAGAGAACAAAAGGGATGGAGAGACTAGAGAAGAAGCCAGTTACTGGGACCTGGGTACAAACTTGGGCATGTGATTCTGACTTCATCAGTCATGGTATCACATCCTATGGCCATTGTATATATATGTGTGTAATTTTTTTGTGCAAGGACTTATAGGAACCCTTCCCTTCCCATAGGGTTACTGAAATGGGAATGATATGAACTCAATGAGGCTATTGATGATCATATCATTTACAGCATGAAGAAATGTTACCTGGAGTGGGAGTAATGAGACCAACGGAGATAAAAGACCCAGAGAAATCTTGCTTACATTGCTTGAATCCTGTCAGTCTTGCACTGGAGTCCTGTTAATACAAAATAATAATAATCCCTTTATTTATTATGTTTGTGTCAACTTCAACAAAAAGAAACTGGACTAAGAGACATTATAATAATTAATGTATGATTAAGAAAGAACTCTCCACCACGGGGAATGTGGAAAGGATATGAGTCCCTTTTTATGATGCGATGCCATGTCTTTTAAATAAGCCACACTTTATGTTCAACAAAAAGAGAATAAGGAGGATTCACAAGAGAACACAATCCATTTTTTATTGCTGGGAAGATACTTTTAGTCATTAATGACTGACTGAACAACAATTTGGGACACATACATGGATATTGGCCAGTTTGTGGTGATAACATTGTTCCCTGTATACAGCGAGTGGTACGTGCATTTATAAAACTGGCCATCATGGCTGCTAAATTTCTGAGTCTAGATGTGTGCCTCTCAAAGAAGTCTTTGAGGGGTTATTATGAAGTAAAACAAAATTAATATTCTGCTGTGCTCTCAAAGGCAGAACTATTGAATTAAAGTTATAGGAAGGGAGGCTTAAACTCAACAATAAGAATGCCTCTCTTGCATTCTTCATCACTAGAAGTTTCCAATAAGATTTTTAGGAAAATTTAGAGAGTATTTTTGAATTGAGCAGGAGGATAACAAAGAGATGATTCAAATGTGGTTTGATGAACTTCTACAACGGTTCCAACTCTAAACTTCAATTATTCTAGCCTCCAAGACCTACACATAACTGTGCAAAGTGCAAATTATTCAATAGTAATCTAGAAGTCTGAATAGTTAGCATTTCCCCACTGTTTGATATTTGTATAAAGCACTCTTAGCAGTATGAATAACTAGAATACTTCAAAGCAATATGTTTTATTGCCTTATCTTTAAAGAAACCATGTCAGACATTTAAAATGAATGGTTGCTATCAGGAAAATGGATGTCGAGACACAAGAAATAAATCACAATGACTTCCTTATTTGGGTTAAGTCTCCTTGTACTAGAAAGAAAAAGTAAGAGTATAGGAAATGTCTTCCAGAAAATTACATTTTCCCAAAGGTTATTTTAAATTTTAATAATTTAATCAACCATCTGACTCTGATTTTAAGTCAAATATCACAGAGGTTCATTTTATTATAAACAACAAAAAAACTTTGTAGTCATGTAAACACTGGTGACAGAGAATAACGCCACTAATTATGCTGAGTAGAAAACAGGAGCCAGGTAAGGGAGAAAGATTCTTTATGTCACTTACCAATTTAGAAGTGTTTTTCACCCCAGGACCACCCTGAAGCCAAAACTGGGGAAAACATTTACTACTCTCACAAACAAAAATATCTATTCCATTTCTTGCATTATGTGTGTGTCCCTGACATTTGGTTACTGTCTAAGTTTCTAAAGAAAGGCTTTATTTAGAGCAAAATACATTTTTTTTTTGTGGGCATTGATGTGAACTTCAGGTCTGGGTTATCAATGACCTAAATTGAGAGAATAGAGGTGCTGTATGGACAAGGAGAGAAAAGAGAGCATACAGCTGTCCTATGCAGTTGCTCTGTTCACAGTGAGGATTGAGCCATTCTAATCCCCTCGGATTTTTTATCTACCAAAACAGCTTGGGCCCATCAGCAAATTGCAGTGGCATATGGTCCAGGTTTACGAGTAATCTGGCACATGATTAAGGCAAGAGGGATGTCATCTTTCAGCAAATACTGAAAATATTGTAGAAGAATTTTGTAGGGTTTCAGAATTCAAACTGATAAAATTATAATTACTAAATACTTCCGTAAATCAACAATTTCTATTTTAAAATAAAAACTTTCTTATTTGTTAGAAGTTACCATGGGGAAAAAATAATGTCCAAGATATTAAGGAATGGGAGTTTTGTTTCTCAAATTTAGAATCAATAGCTACTGATTCAGGATCTTCTGTGGCTACACACCATGCTTGTGTTTCATGGTGGACCAAGTTCACATTTCTCTGAGTCAGATTATCATTGTGCCAACAACTATTCTAAGGTCCCAGTGAAATAATTTGGACATTTCAAAAAGATAAGATGTGAAGACAAGTACAATAATAACTAGTGCCTAATTTAACCTCATCCATGTTTCTCAAACTAAAGTAAGTATCCAGCGACAGAAGTGATTTTCATTTCTGGATGCACATTAGAATCATCTGGGAAGATTATAAAAGTATTAATCCTACTCACAGAGATTCAGATTAATTTGTCTTCAATGAGGACTAGGCATTAGCATTTTTAAAAGGTACGCTACTATTTCCACTGTTCATCCAGAGTTACAACTCACTAAATTGGGGTAACACTCCAGTGTGCCAGGTGGTACACAAAAAGACCAGATAAAAACTAAACGTATCTTGCTGGAAAATCCATTTTTCTCAAAAATTTGGAGAAGAAAATATTTTGTTACTTTTTGTTTTACTTAGATTGTTATACATATGACATAAAATATACCTTATGTCTTATACACATGTTTAAGATAGATATAAAATATACACATAGTAAAATATGAGAAATGGGAATAAGAAGAAATATGATGAATAGGTAAGAATAAAAAGGTGAGTAAATTCTAAGTCTCACTGAGGTTAGGAAAGAAGGATATTAAAAGTAGAAATGAGATAGCTAGAGGTATATGGTTTTCAAGCAAAACCGTGTCCCAGAACTCTAAGAGGAATAAGTGCATTCATTCCTCTTTCCCTTCCTTCATTAGCCATTTTTAAAAACTAAAATAATACCCAGGGATATTATGGTTTCATTGAGACTAATTTCGTGTTTTAAATTTCCCCCATATGTTTACTCATACATAGAAATCTAGTAACTACATGCTGAAATATTTATCTACTCATCAATTTAGGCATATGTATGTGTGTTCATTTATTTGAGCTTATCTTCTAATCATTGGGAAAACATTTTTTTAAAGGACGTGTAATGCTAGAATGCATTTATGTCTAAATAAGCGTAGCAGTTGCAGGTATGATCACACAGGCCTGGCTTGGATTCTATTTTTTTTCACAGATTATTTAATATTTATGACTCTGAGGACCCTGAATAAACAATCCAAGTGGCAGAAAGAAAATAGGTAAAATTTTCCCTCTTGTTTTGCTTAATATCACAGTGGTCTTTAGAACAACAACATAGCACCAACACTTTTTCAAATTTTCAGGTTGTTCTGGGCATTATACACTTACTTTATCAAGCTCTTCCTTATTTGATTAAAGCTGACCAGAACCAAACAAAGCCACGACCACATATTCAATATATGTATGACAGGATTAAATTTCCCTGAACCTGTACTTTCAGCATCTATCATATGAGAGACAAGCCAAGTTTAACTTCATTGTCTTCTAGTCTTTTGTCTTTGCAAGTAATGGCAGTACTCCCTTCAGAAGGACTCCAGCAATGACTTCTGCCAACAACCTTCCTCACTTTTCTCCCATTTTCTCTTCAGGGTTAATTAATCTAAAAGTAGTTACTAATCCATCTTAACTGCAGCTTTCAGGGGAGAAAAAAATAGGAGTTTGATTTCACTCTCATCAAAGTAATTTCTGCAAAAACTCTTGCTGGGTAAAATCAACCAGCGACTATTTGGACAGCTGCAAAATCACCATAGCAACATCGTCACCTCATCACGTTAAGACCTGTGCACTGCCTGGGCTTTTAGGAGAGCTACTGTATTCAGTAGCTACAAACTGATGCAGACAAATAGACATGAGAGGTTCATGACTATGCTCAGTTAGGAAAAATGTCTCATGCCTTAATTTAAAATATTCATGTGGAATATTTATATTATTTGGAAATCCTCACAACCATAAATCCTATGCATTGGAGCAATGCTTTGAGTAAGCTAAAAAGTTCACTGATGGATGGGAGGAAAAATGAGAGAACTAGTGACATCAAGGCAGTTTCCCACAGTGAAAGGATCCAAGTTTCTTGCTCCATTTGGCAAAATCGAAGTGGATTTTGACGATTTGCTTGGAAAGTTATTTAGGTGGGCAAGAGCTGTTTGGTAGTCTGGATTTTTAAAGTGAGAAAGCAAAAAGATCACAGCAGGAGGAAATTGCAGGCTGGGAGAGAATTTGTGGTAAAAACTTTGGAAGTAATTTTCCTGACTTCCCCATGAGTCACGCACATTCTAAAGGTATTAGAGCGAGTCTTGGAGAAGTGAGCTACTTGTCCCCAACAAAGATGTTTCCAGGGCTAATAGAGAAGAAATTAGAATCAAACCATATAGTCAAGAAAGCCAAGAGGAGACTAAGCCACAGGATCCCATAGCAAGCCCATGGAAAGAATAAAATATCAGATGGAGATAAGATAAGGGTTTGCTGACAGAGATCACATCCAGAGCTAACAAAACTCTGAAATCTTAAAGTCTTATCCACTATTTGAGTACAGATTCCTGTACTTCTAGCTATCTCATTGCTACTGTTAACATCCTGCTTTCCTAACTTCAGTGAGACTTAGAAATTTACTCACCTTTCTATTCTTACCCATTCAACAGTTTCTTCTTGTTCCCATTTCTTTGGTGAACAATAGTCCAGCATTGGATCGTCCGTTTGACTATTCTTCAATTCGTATGCCTCCTCCTGCTGCATCTGCCTACTATAACCTCAATCTGGCCAATACCACAATCACTACCACCTAAAATGGAAGAGGTGGGAATAAAATGCAGAACTCTGCAGATCTGTGTCACTGAAAATTCCAGTAAATTTTGTCCTAGAAGCTGGCTTAGGCTAGAGACTGAACTTAGATTTCCTTCCCATAAAATGGAAAGAGCCAGGCTCACAAAACTCCTGATTCACTTGTTAATATCTGGTAGAGAGATAAAGACTGGCCCTACTCTGTTGTTTTTCATGTAGAGAGATAAGAAGCACAATCAGCCCAGGCACGGTGACTCATACGTGTAATCCCAGCTCTTTGGGAGGCTGAGGCAGGCAGATCATGAGGTCAGGAGATCAAGACCGTCCTGGTTAACATGGTGAAACCCTGCCTCTACTAAAAAAATTAGCTGGGCATTGTGGCACATGCCTGTAGTCCCAGCTACTAGGGTGGCTGAGGCAGAAGAATTGCTTGAACCTGGGAGCTAAAGGTTGCAGTGAGCTGAGATCACACTATTGCACTCCAGCCTGGGAAACAAGAGTGAAATTTTGTCTCAAAAAAACAAACAAACAAAAAAGATAATATTGCTACACAATTATCCTTTGGCCAATCATCCTGGATAATATAA